TATACACTATATATGTATATAGATTATTGCTATTTTGATACAAGTTTTTAAACTTATTTTTCTTAAAACATAGAACAGTAACTATAGAAGTTACGACCTTTGTACTCGGTTGCTGCTTGATGTAGGTTGCTAAGCCTTTAAACAATTTGCACATGGGGGATATGAAACAAAATATATTTTTTTAAGTTTTATTTTCGAGCAGACTAAAGACACACCCTACGTCATTGAAATATTGACTCAAAAGAAAGAAATGGCACCAAGCCTGCTAAAATGGCTGAGAAAGCCACTAGTGGGACATTCTGAGCTTCCGATTGTTATTCATGTGATATACAGAAATAAGTGTATATAAGGGAGTGTTTCCAAAAATGGATAGAGGTGGGCAGGGTGCCACTGTGTTTGATTTATTACATGAGCAATATCTTAGCAAATTCAAAAAATAAGAGGCTCTTATTTTATATTCTAACTAGTCAATATCAGTAATTTATGTTTCTAATTCATACGAAACTACAGACTTAATATTTTGACTTCACTAACATCTAATTTGAACCAATAATGCATTCAACATACCACATGACACACAAAAATCAATGTTTATCTGTGTTTTTTAATATTTACTTTTAGATTAAGAAATTGAGTAATATATAGTACTAAAATTTGAATTGTAATCTACAGTTTGATACCAAAGTTATTGACATAAATTTATGAAATAATAGTTCAATAAAATTTTGAATGCAAGTCAACAAACGAGATGAAATGGCCTTTCACCCGTGACCCATCTTAAAAGGGTTAAATAATGCACCCAAAAACACAGAATAATAACATGCACAAAGCAAAGGATGTCTTATATCTATTACTATTTAACTGACTTTCTAATTTGGACAAGAGAAACTTAAGTTATTTCCTTTTGTTGCTCGATCTGAGCACTACAAGATAAACTTTCAAATTAAAGATAAAATTGACAATACTCTATACTGAAAACAAAGTAGCATTATATGTCATTCAACAGGTTAAAACTATGCCTTTCTATTACTTATAAATGAGATAATATAAAATATCAGAAAGAATTAGAAGCAATTTGTAAAAAAGAGGATGTGTCAGGTGTGTGTGGCAAGTGTGTCTGTTTTTCTAGTTTATGACTCTGTGAACAAATAAAATTGAAGGCTATAAATGTTAACATTTTCCTATACCAAAAATGTACTTCCGATAATACTTACCTCTTCTCACACTATAGCTTTATCTCGATGAAAGTTTCTCTTCTTTGCCCACCTAAGCATTGGTATGAATCTTATTTCAAATGCTCCAGCCTTTATACACCACTATATTACCCAAAGCAAGTTAAATCTTGTGATTCTCTCCACTCACATCAATGTGCCCTCTACCCCAGATCTGTATACAAGCTCCCAGTTATTACTTTCTATTCACTTTTCGAGATGGTCCAATTAGCAGATCCAAAACCAGCCACGTCATGGGGAGAGATGTTGGGAGAAGAGGTAAGTTATCAGAAATACATTTTCAGTATAGGAAAATGTTAACTTCTGAAACACACCTCTTCACACACTATAGCTAGAATCCTACATTACCAAGGTGAAGGGGTTGGCGAGGGCAAGATCCACACAGAAAGCATTTGCATAGAACAGAGGTGTGCATAAATGAGATATAGTAATAGCACACACATGGGGTCCACACTACTTGTGGAACAGGTATGCTCTTCGTATGGACAACAAGAAATCTAATTGCTGGGTGGTCAAGGCTGACCAGCCACAGAGGCAAAACCCTGACACCATTAGAAGAACATGAATTCATCTAGGCCCCAGCCAGGCAGACGAGGTCCCACATCTCGTCATTCAAATTAAAGGGCTGTGGACCCAAATCTATAACCATTGCATAGTGGCTAGGGCATGAGAACCACTTTGTATTTTGTCTTGTGTAGTAACATGGTATTATTGGAACCCAACCTGAAAGTTACAGAATGTTGATGTTGAGCCACCAGAATTAAAAAGAGAAGGCAAGCAACACAAAAGTGGACAAACCCTTTTCCCAACATGAAGAAGAGTAAAATGCAATAAACTGAACTCAGAATTACAGGACCTGTCACACCTCACTCAACCTAAAGAAATAGAGATTACCTGGTCTGGGATTATGAATCGAAATCTTAACTCCCCAACCTGAGAGGCAAGGCAACCCCTCCTGCCCCCAGAATTATAAGGAGGATGTGGAACAAACTAAGCCCAACTAATGGCAGAGGAATTGACATAAAAATACATTCCAAAAACCTTGCCTTTCCCACCAAACTGATCCCACAAATCCAACATTCCAGTTGAAGTAATAAAGACAAGAGTAAAATGGACAAAGGAAAAAAATTCAACAGAAAAAAAGACAAAGAAAATTACACAAACAGGTAATAAAGTAAAAAAAAAAGAAACAAGTCCTATATTTTAGGAATGGTATAAAATGACAAATTCTGAAATAAGCATTTTTTATACAGGTGTACAAAACAAACAAATTACAAGAAAGGATAAACAGAACAGTAAGATTTAAAAGCAAATGTTGAACAATAATGGGAAGCCTATAGGGTTTAATAGCTAGTGTTGAACAATAATGGGAAGCCATTGATTATAAAACTGTATTAATAACAGCTTAATTATTAACTCAGTTTGCATGGTTTCAATAATTGGCTTAGGCTTAGCTTAGCTGTTATTGATACTGTTTTCCAAAATATTTTTTTGGCTTTTTTACCTGTTTGTGTAATTTTCTTTGTCTTTTTTCCATTGTCTTTATTACCTAGATTTCCAACCACCCAACCTGTTCTTCCTTACATACTAACCTAAGCCTAGTATTCAGTCCTAGTGACCTGTATATAATTTTATCTCCACAGTTAAGTCTTGGACATTTGACAGAATTAAGTTATGGCTCTTTTCTTTGAATGCCTTTATTGATATCTTATACTTAAAAATAAGATCCTTTGACCCACCCTTCCCTACATCATTATCCTCATGTCAATAATTCTCAAACTTTTTCATCTGCAGACCACTTTGGTGGGGCAAAAGAGCCTGTGGTCCACCTACTAGTCCTACACCATCTGTCCTGTTCTCTCGTATCACCTCAGCCATGGTGTTGTGTATCAGTGACTTGTGTTTTGGTGTAGCTTATGGACCACCAGTGTGCCATGACCCACTCCTTGAGAACCACTGCTCTATCTATGTGCATTGCTAAAATTGCTAATGCTAGCACCCTTTACTACATCATTTGCTTTATTGTTTATACCCTATGCCCCTACATAGTATGATCTAATTCTTTTTTCCCTATTTATCCCACAACCTATCTTATCCATGCATCATACTAAAGAACCTCATGTTTTTCATTCTCATCCTTATCTATCTGTCCCTTTTATTATCCTTCCCTCCTCAAGTTCACCATCTACACAAACTAAACTACAAGTACAAGAGAATTTACTATTTAGTTCACGAGAAATAGTTGTACTTATAGAAATCCAAATATCATGATAGGAATCAAATGTTACGATTAATTAAATAACTCGAGTATAAATGAACACTAATTCAGTTAACATGTAAACAACTTCAGTCGGTGTTTAAAATGTTAAATTAATTCTGTCACGACTGACACATAGTGACATACGTAACACTAATAATAGAAATACATACACTAGGCCTAACACTACAAATATACATGATTTTATTTGAACATCGCAGAAGGTTTTGTTATTAGATAAACTCTATTTAGACTACATAGTAAGAGCACAAAAATCGTAGTAAAATTAACTGATTAAAATGTTTTAAGTTTAATCAACCAACCTGCGATCACATAAATCTTGTTTACTCACCACTCTACATCAACTTACAACTTGTCCAACAAAGCGTATACAACTTGAATTACAAGCAATCCACTTACAAAATAGTTTACTTCAAACTTAAAATGTTAGAAAAACAAACTTATCATAACATAATAATTTAATATATAAAAACCATTTGGAATATGTGGATAAAAATTATTAATATCAGTATAATAACTCTTATGTTAAACATATTTTTATTCTTAATGCCATATAACTATAAACTTGAATCTTCTAGAACAGTTATTAAAATCCTTCCATAAATTGTACAGGATATATCTTTAATCAGGTTGTTGTTGTTTTTCTAACTTTCTATTGAGATTCTGCACAAGAGTGTCATTTCATAACATGTTTGGGAAATGAAGGAGACAAAGAAGACTAATCTCGCGTGGACCATCCAATTCATCTAGGAGCCCTACGCTATGGAAAATGTATATGTGTTAATCCAGTCTAAATAGAAATGTCACACAGAAATTGCCAATTGGGGTCCCATTCAGCGCTTGAGAAGGTTTGTTTGAAATTAAGCACAAAGCTACACAATGGGCTATCTGTGCTCTGCCCAGCACGGGTATCGAAACCCGGTTTCTAGCGTTATAAGTCCGCAGACATGCCGCTGTGCCACTGGGGGGCCGCTTGAGAAGGACAGCTGCCCCTCCCCTCAAATAACGACATTATTTTCAAATGCAGAACATAAAAAGCTAGTTATTCGGGGTAATGCGAAAAATGTGTTCAGGAATCTCCACTTTTGGCTCTTTTCACAAATCTTTTTTTTTATTTTTCTTTGTCGTTAATTTGAGACCCTGGTTTAATATTCAATAGTTAAGTTTGGGCGCCATGTGTTTGATTGTTATTGTCAGAGAATAATACGCCTGTTATGGGTATGTTTGAGTATTACTTTACCCTATACAGTTTGAGGTGATATGTGAGTTGTCTGCATTTATTTTATATAATTTTTTTGTTTTGGATAAACTTAGTAAACTGATGTTTTCACCATCTTATTTGAAGCTTTGTGAAAAGTGTAAATTCGTGGATAACATGGTAATCTTTTAGTTATGTTAAATTACAACTAATTATTTAGATACAGCACTGGGTCTCCAAAAACGTTCCTCTAGGTCGCCATGTCGAAGGAGTCATTGCTCCAGCTGCGTTACGTGAGTTGCGTCTCTCACCGATTTAACCGATGCTATGACGAAGCTACACGTCCGCCATCTTACTAGACACAATAATCGCCAACCCAATAAACCGATTAGATAATGTAGTATGAGTACTTAATATTAAAATTTTTGTTGTTGTTTTTCTTTTGAGATCAAAATCATTGAATAAGAAATAAAATTATTTTTTTATTGTTGAGAAATGATTATACTTTATAATATTATTGACTGATTCTCCCATATAAAGGGTGGTTTCATAAACACATAATCAAAGGAAGATCCAACATTAGTTCTTGTAACTGAGTTAGTAAAAAAGCGTGTAGTTTGTATTTAAAAAAAATCGCGTTAGATTATATTACAGGGTACATTAGATGCTTACTGTAAATCATAAATAGAGATAGCAACAATATGCAAAAGCAAATAATAGTATAATTTTTTATATATATATAAAATAAATATTCATTAGGTGTTACCAATTCTGTTGAGCTTGGCATGGCCAGATGGTTATGACAGTCTGCGGGTCGCGGGCTCGAATCCCCATCACACCGAACATACTCGCCTTTTCAGCCGTGGGGCGTTATAATGTGACGGTCAATCCCACTATTCGTTGGTAAAAGATTAGTCCAAGAGTTGGCGGTAGGTGGTGATGACTAGCCGCCTTCCCTCTAAATTGGGAACAGCATATTTGTTACACAATCTATCAAGAACCCCGATTCTAGTATCCTTATAGCCTATTGTGCTAACAACTGCAGTTAATGTTTGGTGTTAGTAAAAAAGGAATTCGCTAATAATTGTAAAAAAAAATCTCTTGATAATTTAAGTATTTCTACGATTAGCATAACAATGTACTAGTAACGGCCTAAAACAAAACGTCACTACAACCACGGGCGAACGAAAAAAAAAAAAAGATAATCTAATAAACTGTAGCAACAGAAATCCAAAATTAAACTTTCAGACAATTGGAATTCAATTGTATCACTTAAAAAAAAACAGTAAATCCGTGCCTGGCCAGGAGCAACTGAATATTTTAAAACTTATATTTATGGTATTAGAGTGTTTTCACCCACATTTGAACAACACCTGAGAGACCTTGAGTTGATTTTCTACAAGCTTTGTACAGTCAATCTTACTGTAAAAATTTCTAAAAGCAAATTTTGCCGACCAGAAGTATAATATTTAGGATTTAAACTTACTTCTGAGGGAGTACATACAAATTCTGACAAAGTGAAAGCTGTTAATGACTTCCCAAATCCAAAGAACTGGTATAATCTGTTCATTTCAAACTTTGCCACAATTGCTGAACCTTTATATCAATTATGAAGGAAGGGAATCAAGTA